AAAAAAAAAAAAAAAAAAAAAAAAAAAAAAAAAAAAAAAAAAAAAAAAAAAAAAACTACGTTTTTGCCAAAATGTTATAATTAAGCGCAAAAACATCAAGATAAGGAAAAAATTTAAAAGGTCATAAAAAAAACTGACACATACGAACGCCAAACCTTTTGAGGGTTTTACTATACTGACCTAGTACCACCACCCTGACTTGGAATTTCTTACCCCCCCATATTAGCTGTTGTACTGTGTAATATACTAATATTATATTTGTAATACTAGTGTTTTAATAAAATGTATATGATTATTACTTTTTTTATTTTAAAAGTTGTGGTTGAGTTTTGGGGTGACACCTTCAAAATCCGCCCCGGGTGTCACCTATGCTAGCTACGCCACTGACTCCGTTCAACCAAATCAACTTAAACCAACGGCTTAAAAAAAGTTGTATTACAAATTTGGCGTATTTTCGTTAAACTACTACTAGATTAAAGGAAGGTAAGTAATAAATTTAGGTAATATAAATTTATTATTATAGTAAGTAATATTTTTATAATTCGGTTTATTATATTTAGTTTAAGTTTAAAAGATATGTCCCTTGATGCAACCAACTATGCCTTTATGACTACTATAATAACATGAAACAGGGTAATGAACTTCAATATGTGAAAATTATGTTTTCTCGCAATTCGATATTTTGTTTGTTAAGTGGTTTTTAAACACTTAGTTGGGTTTTAATGTTGTTTTCCTTATCTTGATGATTTTGCGCTTAATTATAACATTTTGGCAAAAACGTAGTTTTTTTCCTTATCTTGATGTTTTTTCGCTTAGTTGTAACATAATTAAGCGCAAAAACATCAAGATAAGGTAAAAATTTAAAAGGTCATAAAAAAAACTGACACATACGAACGCCAAACCCTTTGAGGGTTTTACTATACTGACCTAGTACCATCACCCTGACTTGGAAATTCTCACCCCCCAGATTAGCTGTTGTACTGTGTAATGGCATCCTGGTAATCAACGATCAACCAGCGTGTATACAATCCCAGAACTTGACGAAACTAACTCCTCTCCGAGGAGGTCTATTGGGATGACCCCGCTAATCACTAGCACTGCGGGTTCGGATACAGTGCGGTACGCCGAGGCGACTCTCAGGGCTGCTGTTCTCTGCACTTTGGCGAGCACTTTTCGTCTATATTCTATATTTAATGTATCGGTTCATATTTCGCTACCGTATAGTAGCACTGACTGTGTTGTGTCCATCAGCAGTTTCCTTCTACTTGCAAGTGGGCCTCCGGTGTTTGCCATAAGTCTTGATAGCGCCATGGTTATTTCTTTACTTTTTGGGCCGTCACTCGTATCATACAGTAGTTTCCTGTCTTTAAGATAGCTTCGTGTCATTTTCATCATGTAGAGGGGCGTTTTGAAGCGACTTTCTAGTGCGTCGATCATATTTTCCCACTTTGCGCTATTGAATGCATTTCGTATGTCAAGTGTTGCGAGGAGAACTATTGGCCTGGAGAAGTTGTTCTTTCGATGCGCTTCCTCCACGCTGCGCACGACGTCTTCCACAGCTCCGATAGTGGACCTGCCTGGTCTGAAGCCATGTTGTCGCTCTGATAGGCCTCCAGCATCGTTTATGACGGCTATGATTTGGGGTTTCAACAGTCTTTCTAGTAGCTTTCCTGCTGTATATAGCATGCATAGAGGTCGGTATGCTGATGGTGTTCCTGGGTCTCCTTTGCCTTTGCTTATTAGGGTCAGATGCTGCCTCTTCCATATTTCTGGGAAAATGCCCTCGTTCAAGCATGCATTGTACATGGATAGCAGTAAGTGCGGGCGTTCCTAAGCGATTAGCTCTAACACTTCCACTGGTATCCCATCAGGCCCAGGGGCTTTTTTTGGTCTTTAAAGTATTTGCTGCCGTGTACATTTCCTCCAGAGTGAAAGGCGGACATGAGCTCTCTTGTGCATGTTCTGGTGCGTCTCTTCCCAGGTCATGGGTTGGGAACAGAGTGCTTACGATGTGCTCCATAGCTGCGGCATTTAACTCAGGGGTGGACTGTTTTGCTCCGAGTTTTTTCATTACGATCTTATATCCGAGACCCCACGGATTTTTGTTTATATCGTTACGTAGCTCTTCCCATTTATCTTTCTTTGTCTTTGTTATTGCGTCTTTCAGCTCAATTTTCGCAGCTTTATATTCCTTATGATCTTCCATTCCGTTTCTTCCTCCTCTTCTAGCTCTTGTATATCGTCGTCTCTTTTGCAGGCAAGCTTGTYTAASATTTCGGATTTCGTCAGTCCACCAGTAAACTGCTTTCTTTGGATGTCTGCCTTTTATTTTGGGCATTGCTACTTTACATGCCTCAGTGATGGCGCTCAGAGTTGTTTGGACAATCAACATAGCTGTGCTACTTGTGTGGTATTTTGGTGGGTTTTTATCTATGGCCGCAAGGAGCTTTTCTGAGTCTAGCTTGGAAACATTCCATTTACGTGTTCCTCTTCTTTTCGTCGTTGCTGGACTTTTATCTGGACCTATGAGGTAGGATATGTATTGGTGGTCGCTACCAGTATAGTCTTCCAAAACTTTCCACTCGCGCAGCTGGTTTGCGAATCCTTCGGACACCAGCRTGATATCAGGCGTTGTGTCGTTGCATCCTGGCCTTYTKAAAGTGGTTTGGGATCCTCTATTGGCGACGATAAGGCCTAATCTAGCCGCCATGTCGAGAATTTTCCGGCCCTTGAGTTTGAAGTCGGTGTGCCCCATTCCATGCCCTTGGCGTTGAAGTCTCCGGCTATGATTAAGTGACGGTCTCTTTGTCGAGCAGCATCATCTATAGCATCGAGCTTTGCTTGGAAGTCTGTGATAGGGTCGCTCGGTGTCAGGTAGCAACTAATTATCGTAATGCTTTCGTTTTTTATCCAGACAAACCCATTTCCTCTCCCGCTGTTTGTTTTTTTGAAGCTACTCCTTTCCCTTAGCCATATTGCCGCTGTTGCTGTGGTGTCTTCCAGCCATGTTCCATCTTGCGCTATTTTGTACTGCTCGCTAATGATTGCTACCTCGGTTCCGAGTTCCAGCATGAGCTGCGGCAGGAGGTGGTCAGCCGTTTTACTTCTGTGCATGTTACACTGTAAGATCTTCATGTTCTTGTTTYTTCYCTATACGACTCACACGACCGAGACCCTGGGATGTGATCTGTTTGTGTATGCTTCGGTTCTAAGCAGAGACAGCAGCTCGGTGAGTTTTTACAGTCCTTCAGTTTGTGCCCGGGTTTCCCACATCTTATGCATAATTCTTGGCCTTTTCTGTCGGGGCCTTTGCATTCCCATTGTAAATGGCCGAAGTCGAARMAKCTGTAGCATTTTTTAACTTCCTTCATAAGCTTCATCCTGCAGCTGATCCATCCTATTTTTATGTGGCCTTCTTTTAGTACCCTGTTTGCGCTATCGGCTGTCAACGTCACATATGCGCGTATTTGTTCGCGAGTATTTGGAGCGCTGGTCCTCACTGTGATTTCTTCATCTGTTTRTTCTAGCAGACGTCTTACGGAGGTCGTGATTTCTGCTGCAGTGGATAAGGAGTCCTGGTCTCGGATCTCGATTGTGGCTTTCTGCTTTAGCTCGCTTACAGAAGCTATACCACGTAGRTTGCTTGTGAGAGCATTTCGGAGCTCTGGTTTCGGTTTTCTCCTTTCTTCAGTTCTAAGAGCAGGGCACCTGATTTTGTTTTCCGTATTGGGCGGACTTCCACTTTGTCTTGGTCTGTCATAACGTGTTGCCGTATGTTTTGAAGCATCTCGGCATAGCTGCGGCCTTCTGCCGGTTTGACTAGCACTGCTTCTGGTCGAACTCTGGTTTTGCTTCTGGAGCTTGGCATCTGCTTGTCCTTGAGGTTGCTCGCCGCTTTGACGTCGTTTTTTCCGGGTCTTCGCCCCATTCTCTCTGACTCCTGTTCCATTGGACTTGGTGCCGTTCGTTTAGGGAGAGCTGCCACTGGCGTTGAAACATCGTCGTGTTCTTTGCATGCATCTAAGGGTCTAGTTGTCTTCGTGCGTCTCGTATCCCTTTCTACCTTTGTGCAGTTTCGGCGCAGGCTACCGATGATATCGAAAAGTTCATCTAGCTCGGATATCCCATTTTTTACATCGGAACTTATATTCTTCTGTCTCATTTCCTTGCTTGCTTCCGCTGGTTCAGGCATAGGGGAGGCGGTTTCCTGCGTGCAACCCGTTTGGATTGCCCTCTCATTTCCCATCTGTGGCGGCGAGCGCAAAATTTTGCTTTGCTTTCTGAAAGCATTTAATTTGTCGTCCATTCGTCCTTCTTCGTTCTGTTCTGGTGTGTTGTTTTTATTTTTATTCATTTTGATGTTGTAAGGGTCACTGCTTCAAGCCGCTATCTTTGCTCGATTGTACAGTTGCATTTTCGGTCCCTGTGGTTATCTTTGCATTGCAGGAGGCCACATGTGGGTTGACACGAAACCTTATGGGAATTCGTTTTCAGAGCTAGGACCATAGCACTACCACCAACCTAATGGCGATGTAGCATCGATCGTACTTGAAGCCCTGCCAAAGTTTTAACGGGACGGAGGCGCATATGACATTACCCTGGAAGCCATCTGCTGTCCCGGCCGAGCATTTGCAGTTGGGTATTTTTTTTTTTTACTATTTCCGTTGTAGCGTCCCTCGTCGCTATGTTGAATCCCTCTCATGGGTAGGTGATCCCTCGAGGCAGCCCTCTATGGGGCTGTGGATGCTTATTTTGAGGCGGCATCTATTCACCTCACCGGGTCTTTTAAGCCGAATCCTCCTCTCCTGTCGCTCTTGGTCAGGGACTGCTTATTGGGTATTTGCAGATAACCTAAAAAACTTAGGCCGTCACCAGTTCGCCAAGCTGTGACCCTTGGTGGCCTGAGCTCAGCCCAACGCTATATAAAACACAAAGTAGCACATTACATACATATTCAATAACTGAAAGTTAAGCTTACCATAAAAGTTGATCGCGCCATCCGAAAATGCGATTGAAATACATCCCCTGGATAGTTTTTTATTATATTCAGGTAATTGCTCACTTTTGGTACGGACCGCCTTTTCTTTTTTAAATCACTTTTTAGTAAAAGATTTCTCTCTTTACTTGTTTAATCCTTTTTTTTTATTGTAATTCAATAAAATATTCTCACTCTGAGTTTCCTGGTTATCAATAATTACGTTAATTAAAAATTCCATTTCTCTGGCGTTCGTAAATGCGAAAAAGTTCTTCGCAGCACAATCGCAATGGTAAGGCAGTAGAATCAGCTGATTGTGCAGTAGCAACCACAGCCGGCAAGAATGCAGCAGGGTTGCACAAAATTACTGCGTTTACGAACTAACCCAATATTACTTGAGGAGGAGAGCAATGCATCCGATAATGCCGTGGCCAGAATTGAAAGGAGAAGATTGCGAGATATGTGCAATCCTTTTGAGATGAGTGCCAAATTGTAAGAAATTGAGTTGAAAGTGATAAATTGTATTTTTTTTTTAATAATTTATTTACTTATTTAGGTTCAAAAAAACTTTACACTTAACAAGGACGATTTCAAGTATGGCCTAGATAGTTTTGTGGAAGAAACTCGAGCACGTACTTTGACGTCTTTATCTCCGCTTAATCGAATAGTTGCTGCTTTGAGATTTTTTGCGGAAGGCAGTTACCAACCAACGTAGCAATGGGTCAGTCAACAGTGTCAAAGTCACTATCGAATTTTCTCGATGTCATGGAAAGAAAGCTTTGCCGTGAGTGGATAAAATTTGAGCAGACCGACGAGGAAAAAAAAACAAACAGAACAGGAGTTTTATGCGAAGGCAGGCTTCCCAGGAGTCATAATGTGCGTTGATGGTACGCATATAAAAATAATCAAACCGTCTGAAGAGGGTTTTCTATACTACAATAGAAAAGGATTTTACAGCATCAATGCTATGGTGGTGAGGATTATATTTTCTTGCATCAGTGCCACAATTGAGATTTTTAATTTTATCAATTTATTTTTAGGTAGCCGATAACAGATTACGTATAAAAAGCATTGATGCGCGGTATCCTGGATACATATATCACGACTCGCATGTATGGGGATTGAGCAAGTTGAACTTTCAGATTTAACGGCGATATCGAGAAGGTGAAAGAAATACATGGCTGTTAGGTATTTAAATACATGCGTTTCTTAAACTCAGTTTTGAATAGTTATTTGATTTTTTAACAGGCGATGCTGGGTATCCATTGCAGCCTTGGCTAATAACTCCGTATCGATCCTTAAATCATGGCAGCCAAAAAAGTGGTTACAATACTCCAAAACGAGAAATATTATAGAGCGGACAATTGGGGTCTTGAAGAATCGTTTTCGATGCTTGTTGGGTGCTCGAGAACTACACTACTCGCCGGAAAAAGCATGTCAAATTGTAAACGTTGCTTGTACCCTCCATAATATTTGCATCTACTACAAAGTGGATGATTTGAGCGTAAATGAATTCGATTTTGAAAACCGTGAGGAGGAGAAAGAAGAACAAAGCAATGACCCAAATTATGCTTCCATAGCAAACCGTATTAGAGACAACATACTTTCTTCTTCTTCTTCTTGATTGGCGTAGTCACCGCTTACGCAATTATAGCCGAGTTAACAACAGCGCGCCAGTCGTTTCTTC